TAGGAGGATTCCTGCAGGAAACCCAAGAGGCTGAGGACTGGGTCAGTCATTTCTTCACTCCCTCACTCCTCCTCCTCCCTCATGCCCCGCTCACTCCTCACTTCTGGTCACTCATTCCTCACTCCTCCCTCCCTCATCCTCCCTCATCCCTACCTTCCTCACTCCTTCCTCACTCACTCCTCCCTCCCTCACTCCTCCCTCATCCCTACCTCACTCACTCTTCCCTCACTCCTCCCTCATCCCTACCTCCCTCACTCCTCCCTCATCCCTACCTCACTCACTCCTCCCTCATCCCTACCTCACTCACTCCTCCCTCATCCCTGCCTCACTCACTCCTCCCTCACTCCTCTCTCATCCCTACCTCATCCACTCCTCCTTCACTCCTCCCTCATCCCTACCTCACTCACTCCTCCTTCACTCACTCACTCCTCCCTCACTCCTCCCTCACTCACTCTTCCCTCACTCCCTCCTCCCTCCCTCACTCCTCCCTCACTCCTCCCCCATCCCTACCTCAGTCATCCCTGCCTCACTCACTCCTCCCTCACTCCTCTCTCATCCCTACCTCACTCACTCCTCCCTCACTCACTCACTCCTCACTCACTCCTCCCTCACTCCTCCCTCACTCCTCCCTCCCTCACTCCTCCCTCATCCCTACCTCCCTCACTCCTTCCTCATCCCTACCTCACTCACTCCTCCCTCACTCACTCCTCACTCCTCCCTTCCTCACTCATTCCGCACTCCTCCCTCACTTCTCACTGACTCCTCCCTCACTTCTCCCTCATCCTGTGTGACTTGAGCTGAATGTCATTTAGAGTCATTTAGACAGAAACCAGGGTCTCTGTGTTGTCACCATGCAAATAAAATCACCCGGAGACTTTCCTCAGCACAGAACCTGCTGTTTCTCTCCTTCCCACTTGATGGCAGCAATCACTGGAAAGACCCCACCGAGGAGAAAGACAGGAAGGTGACCTGACCCTCCGTCAACAGCATTCCCTTTCTCCAGATGGAAAGTGTTAGCTGGAGAGTCAGGGGGGAGAGGGTGACAAACAATAGGCCACTGCCCTCTGTGGCGGTGGCCTTTGCTGTTTCACTCATGCCTTAAACCCTCCGTTTTATCCTCCTGAGTGTGCGTGGGCCTCATTAGAAGCTGCGGAGTTTGTCAGCACCCTCTCCTTACGACAAAAACGTTACTGCCAGAGTTACAAGTCATTCGTCCTCTTCTAGGCAGGTAGAGAAAGACCCCGCTGTGCTCCTGGGTTTCTTGGTGGCCTGGGTGGGTGCAAAGACGTTCCTGCTTTTCCCTGAGAAATGACAGAAAGGTGAAGGACGGGCCGGGCGCCCGGTGAGAGGGTAAAGGAACAGGTACGGGCGTGGGTGTCACAGAGGCTGCTAGGTCTCTATCGCTTTACATGGAGCTGCTTCTGGAAGTGAAGAGCTGTCCTAACTTTGAAATCACGAAAGAAACAAAGGCTGTCCTTTCCATGTTGGTGAAGGAATCCCTACTGCGGTTCCGACGTGGGGCAGGTCGGAGCAGTGCTTTGGGTTTTCCCACTATCCCTGCCCAGGTTGGTCTCCACTCTCTCAAATTCTGCAAGAAACCAGATGATTTTTCCCACAACCTTACTACCATTTTCTTCCCAGTAGACCATCTTTTTAAAACAGAAAGATCTTACACATTTTGTGAGACTCGTGGCTGAAGCCCGCAGAGAGGAGTTTGAGTCCTCTGTGCATTCCGATTGCGCCATCCATGGCGTTCCTTAAAGGGCTGGAATTTTTGTCCAGTGTTGGAGACGTTTCAAAGGGCCTTTCCAAACATCTGGGAAGCAGCTTTCAGTTAGGTGAGAGTTCCAGCGATGTGGGGGAGGTCATGGACAGCAATCCACATGGACCTCTCCAGAGAAGGCCGGACTCCCCCTCTCCATTCCTCAGCACTCTCTGACCAAAATGGAGATGGCCACAGAGAATCCACCGACCTTCCACATCAGACCACGGCAGGGCCGCTATGCCCAATGCCCTCAGTGGCAAGAAAAGCCAAGGGAATACTGAGCCTGGCCACCGGGTGTGAGCCCTGTGACCATCCGTCCTTACCAGAAGGTGTCATGGCAGCTGGCGTGCAGGAGGCGTGCCACCCCAAAGCATGGGTGGATGTGCTCTCCCGGCTGCGGCTTCCCTTCTGCAGGGCTTAGAGCTCTGTGTTTGTGTTCCCAGCTCCTCTGTTGCCTGTGAGTGTCTGTGTCTCCTTCCCTCGCCCTGACCCATCATCACATTCACTGCTCACCAGCCCACCCTGAGGCAATGCTCTCATCCTCTTGCCTGGAAGTGTCATGCCTCACCCTCCCCAGCAGCAATCCAGGGGAATTGCACTGCAGTCTCCATCAAGTCAAAGGGTCTTGGGCAATCATTCTGTCCCAGGGAAGGCTGACTATGAACTTGAAAGGAATTGAGGCGTCTCCCTAGGGAGCTCTAGAACGTCTGTGGCTCCCTCAGCTCCTACTGTCTGCAGCCTTTCTGACCCATGCCAGCGCGGGCACCTTTCTGACCCATGCCAGCGCGGGTACCTTTCTGACCCATGCCAGCGCGGGCACCACATCACCTCCTCCTCTTGTTCTAGGATGGTCTCATGTTTGCACCTGCTGTCTCCCCACTTAGGATTTCAGCTCTTATGGAGTGGGATAGACAGGTGCATTTCTTTAGCTTCATTTTGAAATAGTTACACATTTACAAAAGGGTTGCAAAAATTACAGAAAGCATTCCCCTGTATCCTTCCCCCAGCTTCCTGAAATAATACATAACCACGCGCAGTTATCAAAATCAGGAAATAAGTCTCACAGCTATTTCAATGACTCTATAGTCACTATTCGGATTTTGCCACTCGTCCTGCAGATGCCCTTTTTCTTGTTCAGGATAATGTACGAAATTTAGTTGCTGGGCCTTCCTAGAAAAATTGCTGTCTTGACCACTTAGCATTCATTAGGCACTCTCCTAAGTTAGACTGTTTTCATGCTTCTCACTTTGTTCTCAGGGTCTTGTTTGTTAGGCCTCTATTTATCGTCAACATTTAACTAGAATATTCATATAGTTGAAGACAGCCATAATGGCTAGAATGAGGCCCAGAGAAGTTAACTAACTTGACAGAGGAAACACAGCCAGTAAACTGCAGCACCAGCCTTAAAGCAGCAGATGTGTCTGCTTGGGAGGAGGGAGCCTGAACTCACCTCATGCGTCTACACAGCCGGGCAGGCGGGGCTCTGGGCACCCCATCCCACATTCCTAATGCTCTCCTTTCCCATATACCCACAATTCGTATATTCTCCAGTACCCAGCACCATACTAAATAGAGAGCAGGGGTTCAATAAAGGTTTTTTGAGTGGGATTGAACAGTCCAAGTATTTTACAGAACTTAAGTAGAGTTTGGAATTACAACAACATTAAGAGCATTTTTTTTTTTTAGCTTTTTGCTTCCAAGATGGTACCATGTTAGCGCTTTGAATTTATTTGTTGGAAACAAACACATGGTGCTTAGTTGACTCATGCATTACTTCACTGCTTTCAGGTCAAAGTTGGCAATGAAGATTCTTTGTCTGTGGCTGGAGCGCTCTTGGTGCAGGCCCAGTGATGTGTTCACAGTCCTGCTCACCTTGCCTCCCCTCATTGCTCTTCCTGTCACATCCTTCAAGGACTAATGGTGCATTTGCAGCACTTCCTGGATGACTGAAGTTTCAAAAGAGTGCTCTGAGAATGCAATACGGCTTGACTGGGCATTTGTTCAATATGACAGCTGATTCAGGAGCTACATTCCCAAAGAGTACTTTCCAAAGGAGAGCCGTCTCTGGAGGAATATCATACGTCTCTCCCTGTGACATGGTTAGCTTGTTTTTCAGCAATTTGGGTGAAGTCAGAAAAGACGTGTTTATCAAACCTGCAGATGACAAATTTATGAGATGGCGCTAACGTGAAAAATGACAGCCTCAAACTACAGAAGGCCTCGACAGGCCAGAGCACTTGACTACAACCGCAAGACGAAATTAAACAGAGAGATATGTCAAGGCCTGCATTCAGGCTGCAAAAAATCAATTGTGCAAGTAGCGGAGAGGGAAATCCTAGATTTATAGCCCTCCATGTGCAAAAGATGTGGGAGGAGTTTTAACAGAACACAAACTCAACAGGGAGCCACGAGCAGTTCTGGCTCCAGGAGAAGGACCACAAGCCTGTGCTGCGTTCCCCGAGGATGCGCAGTGAGCAGGGTAAGCAGTCGTCCCCGAGTGCAGGGCTGGCCACACGGCGTCTTGAGGATTATGCTCGACTCAAAGGGTCACCTTTTAGGATGGAAACTTAGAAAACGCATATAAGTATGCCTTTATATTATAGTATGATACTATGTGATAATATTATTTATAGTGTATTTGTTCAAAGCTGCAAGCTGTCCTAAAACTGATATCACAAGAAATGAAAACCTTTCAAGAGGCGCTCACTAGCCAGAGCAGTGGCTCTCAACCCAGGCTACGTATCAGAAACCCATGGAGCTTTAAAGATTTCATATCCTAGGATGACTAATTCAGTAAGCTTGGGTGGAATCTGATGTCTGCATCTTTAAAAGCTTTTTAGGCAGTTCTGATGAATAGCCAGAACTGAGAGCCACTGGCCTAAGGAACAGAGTCTGAACTCCTCAGCCGGGCTAATTACAGGCTTGCCTCGCAACCGTCCTTCCTACCTGTCCTCTTGTTGAGGGTTGACGTTTTTGTCCCTGTAAAAGATGTCAAACTCCTAACCGCAGTTCCTTGGGAATGTGACTTAATTTGGAAATAGGGTCTCTGCAGGTGTCATCAAGTTAGGATGAGGTCATACTCCATTGGGGGGCCCCACTCCGATATGTCCAGCACAAGTGCCTTATAAGAAGAAGAGACAGGCACGGGGAGAAGGCCACAAGATACAGACACAGATGCAGAGGACAGCCACGCTGCGAAGACGTGGGCAGAGAAACCACAAGCAGAGGACTGCCCGTGGCACCAGAAGCTGGGAGATGTGAGGAAGAACCTTCCGTGGGGGCTTTGGAGAGAACGCAGCCCTGTCCACACACACCTCGATCGCCAGCTTCTGGCCTCCACAAATGAGAGGGAACAGGTTTCTGATGCTTTAAGCCACCTGCTGCGGCCCTTTGTCACAGCAGCTCTGGGAAACGCATCACCCTTTTCACGAAGTCCTCACTCCACAAGACGGAGGTCGTCCTTCTCCCCGTCCCTGTCCTGGCTGTGCCACAGTCCTCTCAGCCTTGCCCAGCCTGCAGGAGCCCGAGTCCCGACCCCACCCTTGCATGCTCCTGCTCTCATTCATGTCTCCCCTGAGTTACCAAAATCTCCCGTTCCCACAGGTCCTAGAACGCTGCCTCTGAGAGCCTCAGCATCCTCAGCACTTTCATTCCAGGCTCCCTAGTCCTGTCGGCGGTGGAGATTGTGAACTGTCCTCCAGAGCCATCCTCCCTCTGTCCTGGCTTCTGGACACACAACCAGATGGCACAATCCTGCCCCCAGGGATCTCACTGAGTTTCTGCCACAGGAACAGACAGAAGCGTGATGTGTGCCATGCCCAGGCCTGCACACCTACCAGCTCCATCTGACTCCCCCAGCCGAGCCCCAGTATGGTAGAGACCCAGCTTCAACTGCAGAGGCAAAGGCCACACCCCACCTGGGCTGTGGTGAGAACAGGAGGGGAAGGACCTGGGCTTTGGTGACCCCCTGGCGCACAGCCGAGGCCCCCTAACACCTCCCGGACCTGCACTGCATCTTATTGGTGCTGTGCCCTTGTCGGGACTCTGTAGCAGCCATTTGACCTTTTCCTAGCTAATACAAGACAGATCGTTGTCCTATTAAACTATGAGATATCGAGGACAGACTCTATGACTGTCATTTTAGCAACTGAAACACCTAGCACAATGCTTTATATGTGATACATATTCAGTAATTTTTTTTTGAGACAGGGTCTCACTCTGTGGCCTAAGCTGGAGTGCAATGGCATGATCTCAGCTCAGTGCAACCTCCACCTCCTGGGTTCAAGTGATTCTCATGCCTCAGCCTCCAGAGCAGCTGGGATTGCAGGTGCCCACCACGGCAGGCAGCTAATTTTTGTATTTTTAGTAGACACAGGGTTTCACCATGTTGGCCAGGCTGGTTTTGAACTACTAACCTTAAGTGATCCACCCATCTCAGCCTCCCAAAGTGCTGGGATGACAGTGAGCCACTGCACCCAGCCTCAGTAAATATTTTTAAATGCCTGGAAAAGCATGAGAATCTTTACAGAGGAGACAGCCAACAAGAGACTTCATGGCCATGTTGAAGCACTCAGCAGGCTGTAGGGCAAAAATGTGGGCAATTCTTGTGGTTGCAGAATAGAATGAAATACGGAAAAGCAAAAGGAACTTCCTGGTGTCAAAGCCCTAAACAAACTGCCTGGAGAAAAGTGAACCTGCGGTGTCTGGAGGTGAACCGCGGGGTCTGGAGGTGAACCGTGGGGTTCAGAGGTGAACCGCAGTGTCTGGAGGTGAACCGCGGTGTCTGTCTGGAGGTGAACTGCAGTGTCTGGAGGTGAACCGCAGTGTCTGGAGGTGAACTGGGGTGTCAGGAGGTGAACTGCGGTGTCTGGAGGTGAACTGCGGTGTCTGGAGGTGAACCTGTGGTGTCGGGAGGTGAACCTGCAGTGTCGGGAGGTGAACCTGCGGTGTTTGGAGGTGAAACTGCGGAGCCGCAGTGTTTGGAAGTGCTCCGGTGGAAACAGTGGCCATGTGGCCAGGGTCCTGGCAGTGGAATTCACAAGCAGAGTTTAGAGGAGAGTTTCTGAGTGATCACAGACATTGAAGAGGCCCTTGTGTGAGACTTGAGGCTGAGACCCCTGGGGAGGGATGCTGTATGGGGAAAAAGAATTGGGAAGAAAGGACCTGAGGACTGAGTCTGGGAGTTTATGGGTGGAGGAGACAGGGAGGGCCTCAGGGAGGAGAATGAGAGCATCCCAAGTTCCAGGCACCTCTAAGGAGTGGAGTCCCTGGAAGGGAAGGGACAGCTGTGGCCCGCTGCTGAGGAGTCAGGAGTGGATTTGACCATGTGCTGATCTCAAGAGGAGCTGTTTTGTTGGGGGTATCACAGCAGGGGAGTGACAAGGACGAGACCCCCACCTGTGGGCTTCTTGCTTTGCTTCCTGCCCTGGAGTGGCCTGCTTATCTTGGAGTTCTGACGTGTCCTTTGGGAATCATGGCACACAGTGTAGGTGGGCTCAGGATGTGCCTGTGGGTGGCCTTTCTCCCCCAGTGAGACAGAGGATAGTGGCTTTATAGCACATCCCCAGAAGTCTCACAGTAGCTTCCGGAGGGCTTCACTTCCAGAAATGCGGCGCTTTCCTCCAGCTGCTTGGGCTAAAACCTTGCAGTCTTTCTTAACTCTTGCCTCTCACCTCATGCCCATCCAGGAGTAGAACCTGCCAGCTCTACCGCCATCAAGTGCCCAGTGCTGTCCACTGCCGGCCACTCCCTTAGTCCCTGTCACCCCCGCTCCTGCACCATGGCCAGGGCTCCTCTCTGTGCCCCTCCCACCTTGCCCTGGGGAGGCTCTACTCCGCCTCCACCCGCCATGAGCAGCCATCTGCTAGAAATGGGAGTCCAGTGTACTTCCTGCTGTGCCCAGCCCCCTCCGCTGCTGTCCATCTCCTTCACAGCGATAACCCAAGCTCTCACTGTTTTTACACTGAGAAGGTGGCTGCGGTTGATTCTGTAGCAACTTCTAGGACAGCAGAGCTCCGCCTTAGCCAGGATAGGAGCTCCTGACTGCCTGGGAATTAAGGGCACCACGCAGCACCTGCTATGGCCGGGCAAGGGAGCACAGCCTCGGGCCACGGTGCCAAGGTGCCAGGCACCACCCTTTAGGTCTCGGAGTTCACACTGGAACTCCAAGGTGAACAGGGCACTCCAGGGCACGGTGCACAGCAAGAAACCTGAAGACTGAGGATCTCTTCCTCGTCACTCCCCTGCTGTGATCCCACCATCAAAATAGCTCCTGTCAAGATCAGCATGTAGTCAAATCCAATCCTCACTCCTCAGCTGTATGCCACAGCTGTCCCTTCCCTCCCGGGAATCCCACACCGCGGGGGCACCTCACCTCTGGACGCTCTCATTCTCCTCCCTGGGACCCTCCCAAGCTCCCCCACCCGTAAACACTGGGCGGTGCCCACGCCCGGACTCAGGCCTCAGGCCATTCCTCTCTGTGCTTCCATGTAGCCTGGAGTTTCTGCAGGGCTTCCCCGGACCTGGCTGTTGCCTCCTCCCTGCTCCACCCCAGCCACTGCCTTCATCATACAGCCACGTGCTGCTGTCCCGATGGCAGCCTCAAGGTCTCTGTGTTTCCAGAAGGCTCTTCCTGCAGGTGTCTGCGTGCATCACTCTCCTGCTTCTTTGGGTCTCTTCTCAAAAGTTATCTGATCAAAAGGACTTCAGGGACCACATCAAGGCCTCCCAGCAGCTCCCGCCTTCACTTGTCTTTCCCAGGGATGCATTCCGTGGGGACAGGGATCTTGCTCATTTGTGCATCATTCCCTGGCATCCAGAAGAGGGTCTGGCACAACAATGAGACAAGCAACTTTTGTGGTACGAACACAAACATACTGGTTAATTTGGGGGACGATCCTCACTCAGAAATTGCCAGAACCTAGGTACTTTACTGGCCAACAATACTTCCCTTAGCAACTGACAGAAAAACTATTGTGATCATAATACTCCTTTCCACACTTTGACTAGAGTTGACATTTAATAATGATCAGCTCCATCACACTAATACTCAGCCATTGTTTTCACGTATTCCCTAAGTACTGACTGACAGCCGCTGGGCGGGAGGGTGGGCTGGGGGCTGGGACGCACCGTGGGGAATGGAGCCTGTCATTGCGCCTACCTGCCTTGGCCTCCAGGCTGGTGGGCAGAGAGATGCTTTGCAAAATTCACAAAAAGACGCTTATAATTACACATTCAGGTGAGTGCTCTGCAGAAGCAGCACAGGCCTCCGCAGGAATGAATGAACGCGGAATCCTTTGTAAAGAAGCCACATTCAATCTGAGCCCTGAAGGGAGGTGCCTGGGGCCTCAGAACTGTGACCGAAGCCATGCGCTCTCACCGGGCTGTACCAGTGCTGCGTCCGTCGGTTCATTCCTGGGCCGTCAGGAGCTCCTACCCTGGCTAAGGCAGAGCTCTGCCCTCCTGGGAGTTGCTACAGCATCAAATGCAGCCACCTTCTTGGTGTAAAAATAGCATCTCCCTCTGCTTACGGAGTTAGGTTGCTCAGCAACCTGTTTTTTCCTTTTTCCTTTTGAGTCTCCCCATACACTGATTTTCACTGGCCCTTTGGAGATCCGTCATGGAGGGCTGATTGGCCAGGGAAACCTGATGGATCCTGCTGCCGGGAGCCAAGGAGGCCGCAAGGCCAGGGGAGGGGGCCGGACTCCCACATGCTCACCACGGCCCTGCAGCCTCTGGGACACGTGGTGGGCCTTCCTGCCCCTTGCCCTGTGAGGGCGATGGGGGCTGAAAGAGAGGGGCAGGGAGGTGTGAAGGCCTCTCCAGTCAGATCACTCAAAAATAAAAACATCTGGCCTGGCATGGTGGCTCAGGGCTGTAATCCCAGCACTTTGGGAGGCCGAAGTGGGCAGATCACTTGAGGTCAGGTGTTCAAGACCAGCATAGCCAACATGGAGAAACCCTGTCTCTACTAAAAATACAAAAATTAGCCATGCATGGTGTCAGGCACCAGTATTCCCAGCTACTCCAGAGGCTGAGGTAGGAGAATAGCTTGAACCAGGAGACAGAGGTCACAGGGAGCTGAGATTGCCCCACTGCACTCCAGACTTGGTGAGAGAGAGAGACTGTCTCAAAAAAAGAAGAAGAAGAAGACACCAGACCTGTGGGCACACATGGTCTCTCTCTCTCTCCTTTGTCCCTCTCTGTCTCTGTCTCTGTGTCTCTGTCTCTGTCTCCATCTCTGTCTCCATCTCTGTCTCTGTCTCTCTCTCTGTCTCTGTCTCTATCTCTGTCTCTGTCTCTCTCTCTGTCTCTGTCTCCCTCTCTGTCTCCGTCTCCGTCTCTGTCTTTCTGTCTCTGTCTCCGTCACTGTCTCCTTCTCTGTCTCTTGCTTTGTCTCCAACCCCGATGTATACATACACCTAGTTATAAAGGAGAGATTGTAGTTGAACACCTTTCTTCCAAGCCCCTTGAGTATTCGTTATAATTGGTGGATAACAGAAAAAGGGTTACAGGACAAATCAGAGACAAAGTTTAGTTCTCCCTTCTCAGGCTTCAGCTCGAGGCTAAATTTAATAATCGATCTGTAAAGGAGAACTACAGGCTTCACATCGATCCAACACACTCTGGATACGTTATTGGATGCCACTGTGACGACTACACAGCAAAATGTACCGTGTTCCCTGAACTCACTGGACTGTTGATAACAGGCCCCTGTCGGAAACCGGAGCAAATCTGTGTTTAATATCAGACCTGGGCATTCTCTTGATGAGCTCAAGGCCCAGTTGTAGGTCACGGTCATGTGCACAGCCAATAGTAGGAGAGGGAGAGCCCGGGCTGCTCAGGACGGAACACGGAGCACTGCTGACAGCAGTACGTTCTCCCTCGGCCTCCATGTGGACTCATCCACCAAATTCTGCACCAACAAGCTCTGATGACTCCGCAGTGAAGCATTCACCCACTTGGAAGCCCCTCGTCTATCAGGACTCGACCCTGTTTCTGTGGCGTCCCCAGCTCCTGGCTGGATGCCAGGCAGGAACTCAGGGCTCCTTCAGTGCTAGCTGAACACACGAACCTCCATGCCACGCCGAAAAAAAAAGGATCCTTTCCTGTTATGCCCAGGTCCACACCAGCTATGTCTTCAATTCACTTTCTAGAGTTATTCACCTAAAATATTACCAATGACCATTCTCTCCTCTGTTTGAAAACAGCCAGTGGCTTGTGTGGCACAGAGAATAAAGTCCACGTCCTCCACAGTGGGTCTCGACTTGGCTCTCGTCCCTCACTCACACCCTCTTTGACACTCTCAGCTCCTCCTTTAGGACTTAGTTTGGAAAACCCCTCTCCCAGGAAGCCTCCGGGCTGCCTGTCTCCTCCCAGGGCGCCCTGCATAGGACATGGCACTTACTAGAGTGCATTAAGGGAAACCTTTTTGTTGCTATTCTCTGCCACATGGTGTGATTCTTCAGAGGGGAATTGCTTTTCTCATTTTCTTTGTCCCCATGACTAAGCCCAGCCCTGTCACATGAAATCATCCAGCAGACATGAGCTGATCTGATATGCATGGTTGAGGTCAGAGGATCCAGAGAAACTTATTCATTCTGTTGTCAAAGTTGCTTTTCAAGCAGTCCCAGTCCATTATTAACTACTGATCACCTTTGTTCGTACTTCATTTGTGTGAGCTGTAGGAAACAGTGATCAATAACCTTTCCAAACTGAATTAAAAACAAAGGTGGGTTCTGTATATGTGTGTACAATCTATACATAGGACCAGTGATCACATGGGCAGACCACACCTCTGCCTCACAAGCTCATGGCCTTCTGGGATCTCTGTTCACCTCATAACGACAGCACATCCACTCCTCTGGCCACAGCCCTTGTTTCTCAGAGATCTACAAACACATGCCATGATTTGAACCTGTGCTTCACGGGCTGGATAATATACGTGATGCTAAAATGAGCAGGCAGTAAGCCGGCTGCTGAGCAGTCAGTGCTCTCCTCTGTGTTTTTGGATTCAAGGTCAAATGA